TTTGTTTTTGTGTGTCATATGTGTTCTCAGTTTTGGACCGAAATCACTAGTGGGCTTAGTGTTTTTGACGGGATTAGTATATTTGGGCTTTAGGTTAATTGGTGTAGTATAAATATGTTCTATGTATAGTTATTCTAGGCTAATGCGTTTTTGGTGAGTTAGAGTCTATTCACGGTTCAAGAGTTATTGGATGTACCTGACAATTCATTAATATAATTGTGTGCATTCATTGAAACGTATTCATTGTTTTCATCTAATTGTTTGTTTTGTATAGTTTTTTGATTAAGATTTCGCATTAACTCAAACAATTGCATTGATACCTTGAGAAGATCCAAGATTTGGGACTTACAAGTAGTATCAGAGCCTTACAATTTACTTAAGGCTATTTGGTATCAATTTTCAAAACATTAATTAGTTTGAGGTGTTTTTGAGTTGTATTAAAATTGTTAGCTGTTCATTGTGTTACTTTTTTCATGTTCATACTTTTCTTGGTGATCCTTCATTAATTTTGGAGGATAATTCATTGGAAGTCGTTTTTGGTAATTTAATAAATTTTGGGATTCATCGGATAAGGAAACCCGATCACAACCACGATTTCGACTTGATCTCAGTGTTTTCGGTGGCTGGGTAACATTCTCGGTGAAGAGACTTGGGTTTTCGGTTTGGAAGAGTTCTTGGCCAAAACTTTCAGTTCTCAGCTAACTGTTTTTGGTCAATCTTTTGACTTTCAGGGATTGGTCAAAAATTTGACCTTCAAGGTTCTCGGTCAACAGGGTGTTGACTAGTGGTGCTTTCGGTCTGAAAGTTTTTTTTTGGTTTTCGGTTAGTTTTTTTTGGTGAATAATGAGTTCTTTAATCACCAAGAAGGTAAATGAAACCTCATGTTCTCAATCCTGTGAAGACAAAATAAATAAATACCGTGAACATAATGAACTGTTTGTTAGAGAGGTTTTTGACCTTAAAAATGAAATATATGAAATCAAGAAAATAAATAAATCGCTTAACGAAAAACTAGAAGCTCAAACAAAATATTTAAGTAAAATTAAAGAAGAGTACAACACCAAATGTTTTCACTATCGGTTTGCCAAGGAGAAAATTGCAAACTTAACTGCTGGACTTGATGCATTGAAGGTTAAATTTAATGACGATGACTTAACTTTTAACAAATTTGATGTGTCAAGTGAGAAAATTGAGTCTATGATAGAAAAACAATTAAAGTGGAAAGACAAACAGGGTACGGGTATAGGGTACCATTATGTTCCACCTCCTTTCAATGATAACTATACACCACCCCTTGAAACCAAAGAGATATAGACACCTGCGCAGTATGGTCAGCCCTCTATAACTGCCCTAATCAAGACTGAACAATCCGGACCAACTGAGAGTATTGACATGAATAATTCTAATGCTACTACTTCAAGTATAGATAAAGTAACTGGGCAAGATGGGCTCAAGCAGAACAAAAATAATTCTAGTTTTGCTGAAACTGCCTCAAAAACTTGTGACAATAATAATCCCACTGTTGAAAATTCAAAGCCACAAAAATTTGTTAAAAGGTCTAATAAATGTGCTTGTGATTGTGGAAGGTCTCTGAAACAAACTTCGTTTGGACAAGGGCCAAGTCACAATCCTAGTTATTTAAAAATACAAACTTCTTTCAACTGTGGGACTCTCGGTTACATTGCTAGAAATTGCCCACATCAGTCATATGTTCCGTACTATAAACAAGGGTGGCAGAACGTGCAAAGGGGGAGATCTTCCACAAGAAATCCTTCGAGGTCACATTCAAGAAATGATGATTGGAATGCTAAAAAGGCCAAAAAGAGCATGTCGGAAAAGAAGCCTAATCTGAGAAATAGTTCAGTCAGATCAAGATCGGTAAGGTCAAAGTCATCTCAGCAATCGGTCTCAAGCTCCAAAGAAACTACTAAAACATCAATCAAATTAAACAAGAAAATGGTTAAACCCGACTACAGATGGGTACCAAAGGTTTCAATTCCCAAATTACCAAAAAATTCTAATGTCTCTTCATTTTTTGTGTTTGATAAACAGGATATGACTTGGGAAAGAGTATCATGTGTTGATGGTAAAGGTCAACCCAGTTTCAAAATGGACTGGGTTCCCAAAACCTATTAATCCTGCACTTTGTGTCGGAGAAACTATGGAGGAATATCATCAGACTTCGGTATATTGATAGTGGTTGTTCCTGGCACATGATAGAGGACATCTCTCTTTTGCATGTCATTCATTATTTTAATGGAGAGAATGTGTCCTTTGCGGGAAAGGAAAAGAAAAGATCACAAATGGAGAATTTCTTCAATTGTTGAATCACGGTTTGAATTTTCTAACTCTTCTATTCTCTGTGATTATAATGCTGATTTCAAATTGCCCAAAAAACCTATTTTTTAAAAACCAAGCTCATGCTTATTGGATTTCTTAATATGATACGTTTCAAAAACTGAAATTTCTTTTCATTTTTATTTAGTATTTCTTATTTTCTTCCATTTTGATTTATTCTTAAATTTTTTATGTGTCAATCTTTTGGGAAGTGATATGAGTTAGTGATAAAGGGCAAACGAAATATGTGTAAAGCACTGAAGCTGAATTGTATAAACTATGTGTTCAATGTGGTGGTAGGCATAATGAACTAAGACTAGTGGACTAGACAATATGGACTCATTTGAACTTAAAAAACTTCGTTTGGACTGACAATACGACACTTGGATAGGTTTAACAATAAAATAGACAAGGAAGCCTCTGACATAAATTGAAGTTGATTATCATCTAGATCTGTCGTTCAACACTTCATTGGCGTATGGACTCATGTCCTTAATTTTGGTATTGATAGGGGGTAACCGAGGGCTTCTAATAAATTGGGTCTGTTTAAAATGGTTATTCTTTCTTTCTTAGTCAACCATATGTTGTCCTCTTTGCGTGATCGGAAGATCCGACCTGGGACACAACATATGCACTCAGATGATGTTCACTGGTTCAAATTCAGTATATTATCACCTACAAATATCAAAGATTCTACTTTATGTGTTCTTCATATGTTGTCCCCTCTGCGTGATCCGTAGATCCGACCTGGGACACAACATATGCATGCCATAATGATTAACTAGTCGCCTGAAGTAAAGGATTCTGAGGAAATTTCCTTGATTACTGGGGTATACCAGGAAGTGGGGAACATCTTCTAGTGTACTAATATTAATTATACCCTTAACTAAAAGACTGACTGGTAGATTTTACTAGCTAAATTTAACTGGACAACAATATCCTTGGCCTTCGTCAGACAAAATGGTCTATCTAGGAATATGGTAGCTATAAATTGTCACTCATAAGTTGTTTTGAAAAGGTTATTTGTGTTTAAGTGGAACACAATATCAATGATTGACTAGAGTTTTTCATGAACGTGTGTGCTGATAAACATCATCACTTTGTCCTATAACGTTTGATCCCAAATGTTTTTATTATGTATTACACTTTTATTTTTATTTTTATTTTTATTTTTATTTAAATTTGTATATATTTTCATTGTTATGCACAAATTTAGGGGAAGAGATAATAACAAAAAAAAACAAAAATAATTAAAAAATATATATATAATAAAAATAAAAGTTATTAAAAAAATTAAATATTTTAATTGTGTGTTTAATTTTTAATTATTTTTTGGTTTTTGAAACGTAAAATCAAAGGAAATTTTTTATTAATTTTTTGGGTCATTTTATTTTGGGCCGAAATCTTTGAGGTGGGCCATCTAGGCCGTTTTCGGAGGTATTTATATACCTTCTTCTCGGCTGATTAGGGTTTACCTCTTGAAAACCTCAACACGTCATTGTTGTCCTCTCTTAACCTTTTTCAAAATTTTCTGGTTTCCGTGTTTGTGCTACAATTTCTTCGGTAAATCAGGTACATATATGGTTTTTGATCATGACTATGATGTTTCAAAGTGGCTTTGGTGTACATGTTTCCATGGATTTGTAGGTTTCGAGTGGATTGTTCGACGATTTTCAAAATTTTTGAATTAGAACAGGTTTCGAGGGTTTTCGATCAAACATCGATTTGACCGAATTCGATTCAGATCCGACCGAAATTGGATTTCTCGGCCGAAAACGCCTGGTAAAAAGTCTTTTGACCGAATTCGATCATTTTTTTACCAAAATCGATGGAATCTTTGACTTTAACCGAAAACGCCTGAAGTCTTGCTTTTGACCGAAATCGATTAAATCTTTGACTTCAACCGAAATCAAATTTTAAACTTAATTTAATTAATTTTAAATCACGTCTTACTTGGCTAGTTTGGTGCAGATAAATGGCAGAGCAGATTAAATTTGTAGAGTCTCATAATGTTGTTGGTTATCTTATGGATCCACATGCTGCTCATCAAGAATTCAAATCCATGATGGTGGGTTTGAACAACTGCAGGATTTCTCATGCCCTTCGTGCAAATCCAGTCATCCACAAAGACCTGATTAATGAGTTCTGGAAAATGCCTCAATTATGAACCAGGGAGCTGGTTTTATTGAATCAATGGTGAAGGGAACTCAAGTAATTATTTCTGAGCAAGTTATCTGAGAGATGCTTGAATTTGGTGATGCATCTGCATTTCTAATTGAGTACTCCGCCAATCAAGTGAAGGAATTCTTGAGAAGATGTGCTATGAAGGAACTTATCCTCCCACCATTAAAAAATTGTTGCCACCTTACTGGAGGTTTATGGCATACTATTTTGTGAGTTATATTTCTGGAAGGAAGGGAAGATCTGATGAAATCAGTCAAACTGCAACCTCAACTATTGTCGCTTTAGCAATGAACTGGGATTATAATTTTTCAAAGTTTGTTTTTGAAGAAATGAAAAGCAACCTCCAGGGGAAGAAGAAGGACTTGTTCTTGATGTATCCCAGATTCCTTTAAATTATCTTGAATGAAAAATACCCTCAAATTGAGAGGTCGTCTGATACTTTGGACATGAAATCTTTGGGTCCCAGCACCTTTGGACTCATGAAGCAATCAAGAAAAGCTGCCAAAGTCGCCTATCAAGGATTGAAGGAGTTGGTTAAGTTTGGAAAGTTTGTTGAAGTTGAAGACACTCCTGCTTCTAGCATCGTTAATGTTCAGGTTACCGAGGAACACGTGGCACCTAAATCAAAATTTCAATTTGCATTTGAAGAGATTGAAGTATCTGATGATGATGAAGAAGAGGTTCAAGAAAAGGATATGATTGAGAATGAGCTTGAAGATTTTCTACAAAGTGTCTCAATCCTTGAAGAGGTTGTGGCTGTCACACCTTCTGTTGTGACTGAAAGACATCGTGACTCAAATGTGCAAGTTTATTCACCTACCCCTGAATAGATGGATACTCTTATTGCTGATGTTCAGCGAACTGCGAGGAAGCCTCCCCAAACAGTTCCTGTTACAACTGAACTTCCATCTGAGAGTGATCAAGATGATTCTACTCACGTTCTACTCCTGAGGAAAAGAAAAAGAAGAGATCCAAGACCTAGAGTACTTATCACAGACCCTGTTCAAATTGTATCTACTCCGATTGAACCTAGTTTTCTGGCCCAAACTATTGAAGGCACATTCACTGAGTCTTCTCCAGTGATGCAAGAGATTTCAAGCCCGTTACCTGAATCCTCTCCTATGGATCAGGATTTGTAAAGCCCTATTGTTGAACAAGAAGTTTTATCTTTAGAAGGGCTCAAGCTTCTGGAAGCTCCTTTGAAGACCCCGAGCTACATATTTTAAAAGGCAAAAACAAGTTGCCTGAGTCTAAATTTGTGGATGTTGCTTTGCTTCAGAACAGAGTTTTTGATTTGTAACAGAGTTCAGTTGAAAAGGATTTGATTATTATAATGTAGGACATTATAATCAATGATCTTGAAAAGGAGAACTCCATTAAAGATGCAAAGATTTCATAACTTCAAGCAAATCTTGGTGGTCTAACTGCATTATTCTTTGACCTGAAACAACGCTTACATCAAAATTTTGGTGTTGATTTTCAACCTTTAAGAGCTAAAGGGGAAAAGATTTATGCTTCTAGTTCTGGTCCAGTTAATCAAACTTCTCAACCTGCAAGTGAAAGAGTTGTAAGACCTGCTCCGGTGCAAATATTGACACATTTTTATCTTCTGGTCCTGCTTCTGCTCAAGAAAGAAGAGAGAAGCAAATCAGGGTTGAGCAGCTAAGAGGGAAGATGCTGGTGATGAAGCATTCAGATCAAAATGCTCCAGGTGATCACCCTGAGATGTTTTTCAGGGAGACTGCGAAGAAATTTACAAATAAATATGGAGACCGCACTGGCATTTTGATGTGGGGGTTTGATGCTGATAAGAAAATGTGGGTCGTAAAGCGAAAGAGTGGACGAGTTGAATATTATGAGAAGAAATTCCGACTTCTTGTCCCGGACAAAAGTTGATCTTTCTGAACTCATCCACGCCCCTTTTCACAATCCAATAAATGATCCCATTGCCTGGTCTTTTAAGAAGTTTCTCGAGGATAACGCTAAAAATAACTTTGAAGGCATGAATCCTGCTTCATCGTTTACGAAAAAGGCCAACGATGTCATTGATCCTCATACTAATAAAACCATTGTGAATGTTATGTGGCCACCTACCAAGAAAGCTGAAAGGATTCTGCTTCTCAAATGTTTACCAGATGGTACTTTGGATTCAATGCAGTTCTGGGTTTATGTTGAAGTTACTGCATCAGCTGTGATCAAGCTTAAGAAGAACTAGTATCACATTGTTGATCCAAAAGACTTGTTGAAGTTTAGTGAACGTGATAGCCGAAATTTTTCAAATTTTCATAAAATTGTTGAGAATGAATTGTTTGAAGCAACCACAAAATCCTTCAGCGGAATGGATGCTACAATATATGACAGGAAGCTGTGGGCAGGGGCATTTGATCAGGCGGATGTGCATCTCGTGGAGAAGCCTTGAAGAACACTAAAAGTAATAAACCAAGGGTGAGATTGTTGGGCTATATTTTGTGGTTTATGCTTTGTTTTTGTGTGTCATATGTGTTCTCGGTTCTGGACCGAAATCACTAGTGGGCTTAGTGTTTTCGGTGGGCTTATTATATTTGGGCTTTAGATTAATTGGTGTAGTATAAATATGGTCTATGTATAGTTATTCTAGGCTAATGCGTTTTTGGTGAGTTAGAGTCTATTCACGGTTCAAGAGTTATTGGATGTACCTGACAATTCATTAATATAATTGTGTGCATTCATTGAAACGTATTCATTGTTTTCATTTAATTGTTTGTTTCATATAGTTGTTTGATTAAGATTCTGCATTAACTCAAACAATTGCATTGATAACTTGAGAAGATCCATGATTTGGGACTTACACTTATCAACGTACAACAACATGTTGGTGCAACTGTACATAGTCGTGCAACGATCCAACCCTAACTACGCCCTACATATACCCATCCACGATTGTCTCTAGTGGAGTGTGACATCCACATTTTCTAAAGAACTCTTGGATTATGAAATACCAAATAAATCAAAGCGCCCACACCTAAAAACTTACAACGACACCACAAATCCAGGCATCCACATTGATATATATGAGTGAACCACGACTTCGTTAAAGAACTATGGTGCACATATTTCCTGACGATGCTAGATGGTAATGCATTAACGTGGTTCAAAACACCCTGACCTGGAAGCATATACAGCTTCGTCCAATTGAAATACCTCTTCCTAACCAACTTCATGTAGTTGAGGAAATACAAAGGTGACTCGCATTCCATTATTGGATGCAAGAAAAAAGAGGGCGCGACCGTCAGAGAGTACTTTGCTAGATTCACCAGCGCCACCCTAGACATCCTGGGACACGATGTAGGATTAATCGCAGGTGCATTCACATGGGGAATCCTTCCTGGCCCATTTTTTTAAAACTTATGAGAAAAAACTTCAAACGCGTGCTGATCTTAAAGAAAAAGTAGAGCGATATTTGCTCCTGGTGGAAGGAGAAGCGTGCAAGAAAGGATACTTGAATGCCATGGCGGCCCCTACGACAAGACAAAACAACAAACCTAGCCCCCACCAGGAGAACCATGGGGGAAACAGATACTAGGGACACGGGCAACGCCCACAGGTACGTTTCAGACCATTCAGGGAAGATCAAAGGGGACGACGATCTAAAATATACACCATCGTAGACAAGCCAGTCGGGAAAGGCATGAAAGCATGCTATTGTGAATACCATAAGAGTAGGACCCATGACACCACCAACTGCTCGGTCTTGAAGTGGGAAATTGAAGAAAACTAGCTCAATGGGAACATGATAGAAATTACAAGGAGCCTACATGCTAAATTTGACATTGATAACCTCAAAGACGACGCTAAGCTGAACAATCGCCCCTAGAGATATTAGCCATACACGGAAAAAGAGGAAGGTCGGAAAACGAAGACAATGTAGACAGCACTACAAAGGCAATGCAAGGTTTGACCTTTTCGATATGAGACCTTCGCCCCGCCGGTTGGCGGGGGGACGACCTACTTGTCATTAATGGCTAGATACGGAACACCATGATCAATTTTGTAAACTTCGAAATAGGAAGCTCAGCACACATCATCTACGCACATTGCTTTTGCCTCCTACCAGATGGGTGGAAGAAGGGTCTGAAGCCAACAACAGGACAACTAACAGGCTTCATGGGGCATAGAATATGGTCCCTAGGGACGATTCATCTGACATTCAAGCTAATCAGTCATGTCAAAACCAAAAGGAAAACAGGTGTCACTTTGTGGTAATACGACACCCAGCGGAACACAACATCATACTAGGCCGAACAACACTATTTAAGCTCGGAGCGATATCGTCTACCATACACGGGGTACTGAAGTTTAGTGCAACCAATAGTCCAGGGACAATCCTTGCCACCTCGTCAAGAGAATTACGATGCCACGAAATCATGCAACCAAAATAAATCATAGAGGATATCAAGAAACCACGATAAGAAGTACCTGGTGAGAGGGAGGTGATTAAAATGGAATATCCAGACCAACCAATCGGCATGGGAGTCAGTCTCCCCCGGACAACACGAGAAGCACTAATAATCCTTCTCAATAAATACAAGCACGTCTTCGTGTGGACACCTATAGACATGGTAGGAGTGGATAGAAAGATCATAGAGCACAATGTAAACATTAAAGCATGAACCAAAAGAGGTAAAACAAAAAAGGTAAGTTCAATGAGGGGATAGGAACAGAGCAATCAACATCGAACTAGCCAAGTTAACTAAAGCTTGAATACTCCAAGAAGCAATCTTCCTAACGTATATTGCAAATCCAGTCGTGGTCAAAAAAAATGATGGACGTGGCGCATGTGTATCGATTACTTGGATTTGAACAATGTTTGTCCTAAGTATTAGTACCAGCTCCTAGAAATTGACCAGAAAGTAGAGCCCTTGCAAGGGTTCAAATGGAAATGCTTCGCGGATGCCTACAAGAGGTACCACTAAATCCTAATGAGCAAGGAAAACGAAGAGAATACCGCCTTCTACACAGACCATGGCAGTTTCTCCTACCAGAAGATGCCTTTTAGATTGAAGAACGAAGGGGCAATCTACCAATGATCGGTCGACTCTCTCTTTCCGAGGAAAATAGGGCGAATCATAGAAGTCTACGTTAATGACATTGTCATCAACAGCCTCGATGAGAAGACACTACTCAACTACATCAAGGAAAATTTTAAGACTTTAGAAACAATTCAGATGAAATTGAACCCTATAAAATGCACTTTTGGGGTAAAAGAAGGACAATTCTTGGGATATTACATTACCAGATAAGGGAACTAGCCAAGGCATTCTAAATTAGAGGAGTTAATGGAGACAAAATCAAACATAACCTAAGGGACGTCCAAGGGCTAAATTTCAAACCGACTAGGTTAAGCCGATTCATTTCCATGTCGGCAGAAAAGTCCATCCCGCTATTCCAAACACTCAAAGGATGCATCAAGAAGAGCAATTTTCACTGGATGCTAGAGGCCGAAACAACGCTCCAACGCCTGAAGGAAGCCCTACACATGCTCCCCACGCTCGCTAGTCCCATCCCATGAGAAACACTCCAAGTGTACCAATCCATGTCTAATGACGCCATATCGTCAATACTGGCGGTAGAAAGGGAGAGGAAGCAGCTTCCGATGTACTTTGTTAGTCGAGCCCTTCAAGGCACAGAAGTCAATTACCCAATCCTTGAGAAGCTATTGCTAGCACTCATTCATGCCACTAGGCGCCTACGACGATATTTTCAAGCACATCAGATAGAAGTACTAACAAGCTCCCCAATCAAGCAGATACTCCTCAAGCCCAAAACTTCGAGGCGCCTAGCCAAATGGGTGATAGAACCAGGGGAGCACGACATCGACTATCGCCCATGCACGAGCATCAAGGGACAAGTGCTAGCATATTTCTTACTAGAAATACGAGGATACCTAGAAACACAAGCCCAGGCGAGAGAACAGGTGGAGGCACTAATTTAGAGCCAAGGAAATAATAGAAGATGGACCCTATACACAGACGGAGCATCTAGAAAAGAAGGATCAGGTGCGAGTCTGATATTAAAAAGCCCAGAATGGGAAGAAATCACTTATACACTCCGCTTCGACTTCAACACCTCCAACGATGAAGCTAAATACGAAGCCTTGATA